TCTGGCTGCAATCACCAGAACCGCCAGCACAACAACAAGCCACTCAAGATATAAATTTATAAAACTGATTGAGTTACAAATATATTCTCTTTTGATATTCCCAACAAGTATTTATTGAGCCTTTTTTTACTGTGCTACAGGAGACAGGCACTTAGGAGAAAAAAAGTCAGCTGGTACACACATACAGTTTTGACAGAGTAAGGGGTGAGAGTGACTGGGGAGAGTGGGGTTGTCAGATAGAAAAAGCAAGATGACTATGACATGGGAATAGAGCCTGGTTTTGTTTCATTTTTTGTGTTCGTACTGAGGATGGAACTCAGGTGTACTTTACCAATGAGCCACAACCATAGTCCTTTTTAAATTTTATTCTTAGACAGCCTCTTACTAAGTTGCGGTGGCTGGCCTCAAACTTTGGATCCTCTTGCCTCAGTTTCCGAAGTAGATGGGATTACAGGTGTGTAATCCCCCACACCTGTAATATTCCATGCTAATATATTGAGACTTTATGTATAATTTGAATGCTTTGAAACTTTGTCTCTATTTTCTTTTGTTTGATTTATTTATTTATTTATTAGTTTTTGGTAAACACAGTGTCTTTATTTTTTATTTATATGTGGTGCAGAGGATCCAACCAAGTGCCTCATGCATACCAATAGAGCGCTCTACCACTGAGCCATAACCCCAGCCCTTTGTTTTATTTTGACAGAAATACATCCCATATGCAGAACACTAAATGTATTTAGGATGGAGATAGTAAGACAGCCTTGCTTGATTTCTTAACTTCCCTGCTAGCTGGTACACTCCTGACTATCTTCCGTGCATAGCCCAGAAGGCAATAAGCACTGTTGACAATAAACTGAATTCTGTAATTGTATTAACAACAGATTAAAAACAAAACAAAAAAACTCAACTAGTGGCCAAGAAAATACAAAGGATGGTGGGCTCACATCTTATAAAATTAGAGAATGTAGAAGGGTGAGAGAGGAAGGCATCAGAGCTCACTGACTTTTCTATTCTGGGTGACCATGTTTATGGTAAGCCATTGAAGCCAACATAAGAGGAGAAGCAGGTTTGGGAAAGAAGAGAACTAAAGTGCTTATATGTATTAGAGATGTTGTTTTTGGTACTGTGTCAATTAGCAATGCTACTCATCAGTAGTTTACAAGGGAGGTCTCTCTAGAAGAGATATTAATATTGCTACTGAGTGTCTTAGATGTTTGTAAACCATTTGGTAACCAGTCATATTTGTTTTATTCCCACATGTGTGAAATGACTTGTATAAAGAAAGATTACTCATTACAATAAGGTTTGTAATAACAAAATATTTTAGAAACACTTTAAATGCTCATTGATCTAGGATTGGTTAAACATCTGGGCTCTTGTTTGCAAAGGCTTAGTAAAATAAGAAATCAGCATTTTGGACTAAAATTTTAAATCAAGCCAACACAGTGGTGCACACCTGTAATCTCAGCTATTCTGGAGAAGGAGGATTGCAAATTTGAGGCCAGTCTCAGTAATTTAGTGGGACCCTATCTTAAAATAAAAAATAAAAAGGGATGAGGAGGATATAGCTGTATGTTAAATTGCTCCTGGTTCGATCTCTAGTACCAACAACTCAATAAACAAACAAGTAAATAGAATTTTAAGTCAATAGCCAGGCATGGTGGCAAACGCCTGTAATCCCAGCAGCTCAGGAGGCTGAAACAAAAGGATTAAAGCCAGCCTCAGCAACAGAGAGATGCTAAGCAACTCAGTGAGACCCTGTCTCTAAATAAAATAAAAAATCCGGCTGGGGATATGGCTCAGTGGTTGAGTGCCTCTGGGTTCAGTCCCCAATACCAAAAAAAAAAAAAAAAAAAAGGTCAAATCAAGAAAGAAATAGAAAAATGATTGAATTAAAGTTCAAAAATGCTTTTAAATCAACTCCCCCTATAATACCTGCATTTATAGTAGACAAAATGAACATAACCTCATGTGATTTAAAAATCATAAAGCCCACTGGGTGGTGCTAACACCAATAATCCAAGTGATTAGGGAGACTGAAATAGAAGGATCACAAATTGAGGCCAGTCTCATCAATTAAGCAAGGCCCTGAACAATTTAGCGAGACCCTGTCTCAAAATAAAAAATTAAAAGGACTCAAGGATGTAGCTCACTCAGCATGTCCCCCCCCCAAAAATAAATAAATCATAAAGTCCCATACTTCACAATTGTTTTATTTTATTTTATCTTTTGAACAAAGAGCCATTTTACCATGAGAGCTACAACCTCATCTCTTTCTTGTTTTTTACTAAATTATTTATTTATTCTGATTTGTTATATATGATGGCAGATCTTTCTTTTCTTTATTTTTCTTTACTTTTTTTCTTTTTCTTTTTCTTTTTTTTTTTTTTTTTGGTGACAGGGTCTTGGTAAGCTGCTGAGGTTGACCTCAATCTTGTGATCCTCCTGCACCAGCCTCTTTAGTCACTTGCAGCTGTCTTTTAATTTATTTTTAAAATTTTTATATATAAAATGTATATATTATATAAAAAGTATGTAGATTTTCGGGGGCACTCCACCACTGAGCCACATTCCAGCCCTATTTTCTATTTTGATTTAGAGACAGGGTCTCACTGAGTTGCTTAGTGCCTTGACTTTACTGAGGCTGGCTTTTCTTTTCTTTTTTTCCCCCAAATATTTATTTATTTACTTATTTTAGTTTTTTAAGTGGGCACAATTATCTATTTTACATTTATGTGGTGCTGAGGATCGAACTCAGTGCCTCAAGCATTCTAGGTGAGGACTCTATCACTGGGCCACAACCCCGGCCCACTGAGGCTGGCTTTGAACTCACAATCCTCCCATCTCAGCCTCCAAAGCCACTGCGATTACATGTGCATGTGCCACCATGCACAGTATATAATTTTTTTTAGTTGTTGATGAACCTTTATTTTATTCAATTATTTATATGTGGTGCTGAGAATAGAACCCATGTCTCATGTATGCTAAGCAAGCACTCTACCACTGAGCCACAATCCCAGCCTAAAAGATGTGTTTTGTGTTTGGTTTTTTTTTAGTTGTAGACAAACACAACACCTCTATTTTCTTTATTTATTTTTATGTGGTGCTCAGGATCAAATCCAGTACCTCACACGTTTGAGGCAAGTGCCATACCACTGAGCCACAACCTTGCCCCTGCCACAGGTGTGTTTTAAAAAATAAAAAGGGTTGGGGATGTGGCTCAGTAGTTGGAGAGTCCCTGGGTTGAATCCCTGGTGCCCCCGCCAAACAAAAAAAATGTGAGAGGCAAGACAGGCATAGAAGTGCATGCCTGTAATCCCACTGAAGCAGGAGAATGGAAAATTGGACATCAGCCTCAGTAAACTTAAGGAGACCCTTCTCTCAAAGTAAAAAACAATAAAAGCACCCCTCAGTTCAATTGCCTCCAAAAATGTGATAAGCAGTAGTTTTGAGTTTTAGCCAAGCTGTATAAAAATCTTTTAAGTAAATTCTAAATTAAATGATACTTTTACTATTATAGGTTCATAAACTTTCGTACTAAGACTTAATGTTTGTGTCATACTGAAGTTTACAAACTATTTTCACTTAATCACTAAAACCACCTTGAAATAAGCAGAACATGTAGAAGTCACCCCCTAAAGATTGAGATGAAAGCTGTTTTATTGGAATGCCTCCAAGGCAGTTTGTAGCATAAGTATGCAAAAGTATTAACTCTTCCTTTCTTTCTTTCTTTCTTTTTTAACATTTTTTTAGTTGTAGTTGGACAAAAATACCTTTATTTTATTTATTTATTAATTTTATGTGGTGCTGAGGATTGAACCCAGCACCTCACATTTGCTAGGTAAGCTCTCTACCTCTGAGCCCCAGCCCCAGCCCCAGTTTTAACTCTTTCAAAAGCAAAAAATTTAACTTATTTGGGCAGGGTTGTCATGAGGCACTGGGTTCGATCCCCGGCACCACATTAAAAAAAAAAAAAAAAATTAATAAAAGAAAGGTAGGGGCTGGGGATTTGGCTCAAGCTGTAGCGCGCTCGCCTGGCATGCGTGCGGCCTGGGTTCGATCCTCAGCACCACATACAAACAAAGATGTTGTGTCTGCCGAAAACTAAAATAAATATTGAAATTCTCTCTCTCTCTTAAAAAAATAAAATAAAAAATAAAAGAAAGGTATTTGGGGCTGGGTATTGTGTTCATCTAAACTAAAAAAAATATATTTAATTTTTTTTTAATTTCTTGGATTTTTCTGGGCTTCGAGGGAGTTAGGGAGTTAATGAATTTGTTCCACTCATATATTTTAGTCCTGTAACTTCCAAAAAAAGACGTCCATTAGCCAAAATGAGGCAGAGTAGAAATTTTAGCCAATCCAAACTTCATGCAATTTCCCTATGTCTCTATCAAATCCTATAATGGAAAACTCTATGTTCTAGTTTTCTGGGACAACTTCTAAAAGCGACCTAAGGCCAGGTGCAGTGGCATACACCTATAATTCCAGTGGCTCCAGAGGCAGGAGGTTTCCAAATTCAAGGCCAGTCTCAGCAACTAATCAAGGCCCTAAGCAATAAAGTGAGACCCCTATCTCAAAATTAAAAATACAGCTAGGCATGATGGTGCACACCTCTAATCCCAGTGGCTTGGGAGGCTGAGGCAGGAGGATGTAGAGTTCAAAGCCAGCCTCAGCAACAGCAAAGCATTGACGCTAAGCAACTCAGTGAGACCCTGTCTCTAAATAAAATATAAAATAGGGCTGGGGATGTGGCTCAGTGGTAAAGTGCCTCTGGGTTCAATCCCCAGTACCAAAAAATAACAGTTTAAAAAAAAAAAAAAAGGCAGGCAAAGGCATCAGAGCACAAGAGAATCTTCAAGTAGACCCACAAATTCTTACAGATAAAGCCAACATTTCACCAAAGTACGATGATATAGGACTGAAGCAAATCATCTCTGCACAGATCATTATACCCACATTGCAGTTGTCTCCCAGGCCTTTGACCCTTTGCTTACCTCCAAAGCCACAGATGGCTTCTTTTTCAGCTCCTCACATTTCCTCTTCTTGCAGATCTGATGGCTATTCTTTCTATTCTTGCAGTAAGTACATTCGCCACAGTTGTCCTTCTGCTGGCAGGGCTCACAGACCCCACATCGCTTTCGTTTCTTTCTTTCCAAAGTTGGTAGCAAGGTGGTAGAGGGAGAAGAGGTGGTATTGGCAACTGACACTGGCACAGATGTCCCTGTGGTGTTAACATCAGCCAAGCTGGTCATGCTAACCTGGGAATTTCCTCCTTCGGATATGCTGGGATTGGCTTGGGAGACTGGGGTCACACCCAGTGAAACAGGGGTGGAAGTGAACCCCTGAGTGTGAGCTGGCAGAAGGCTTCTTGGAACGTGCTTCTCATTTTCTACATTGCTTGCAGTTGTCCATGGAGGTATGGAACCTAACTCGGAGTTTGATGATAATTGAGGAGTGTGTCCTGAGCCCAGAGGCAAAACTGGCATAGTACTCTGGACCTCAAGCCCATATGGGACAGCGCTCTGGGGCTCAGGCCATTTGAGGTTGAGGGGAGCATTACAAGTAGCAGTTGGAAGAATAGGAAGAAAAGTAGGCAGGTCTGGGGCAGCATCCCCAACCACACCATGCATTCCTTGTTGGTTTGGGATAGTACCAAAGACTTCTCCTTGGACCGAAATAGCACCAGGAATCTCTGGTGGGTCTGGGGTCTCACGGAGAGCCTCACCATGAACTGGGTTAGCACCAGGAAATTCCCATTGATGAGGGATAGCACTGAAGGCCTGTCTTAGGGCAGAGGTGGTATCAGGAACTTCCTCTTGATCTAGGGTAGATTTGAAGGCCCCTGGATGATCTGGTTTAGCACCAAGGGTTTCTGGTTCTGAGCCTGCCAAGAGGAGTTTTATTAGAGTGTTGGGATATACAGACCCACCAAGAGACAAGCAATTTCTAACATCTAATTCAGGTATAATCTTATTAAAACTGGGAGATGGGAAACAAGTAGGTTCACTCTTCATGGGTTCCAGATAAGAATCAGTTAGCTTCAGAGATTGTACTTGGGAACCCAAATCTTCTAACTGAATGGTACTTTCAGAGGTAACTTCGGGGGCTGATCTTTGGATTAACGGAGCACCTACAGTGTCCTGAGCAAACATTCCAGGAGAATCACTGATACCATTTGATATCTGTTCAGAGAATAGTCCTTCACCACAATGTGTCCCTTCCAATGGCCCAGAAAGGATCCCTGCTGCAGGGCTACTATGAACAGGTACATGGAATTTGGTATCCTCTATCCCTTGAGACCAAGACTGAGTTGTCTCTTGACTCTCACCTTCAATTAAAGATGTATGTTGTACACTGATTAGATTCTCTATATCAGGGAGGATGAGGGGATCTTGATCTTGGATGGGGACCAAATCATTTTCTGAGCACTTTCCTCCCGTATCATTGACTACCTTATAGTCAGACTCATGTTGCTTTTCTAAACTCTTGGAAGGTGGAACTTTCTTGGGTTTAGATGTAACCACTGGGGGTTGAGAAAGCCGCCTGCTAAGAGAGGTGCTTCGGAGAGCCATTGTAAAGCCATTGCAAGTTAAGGACTCTGGGTTCTGAAAAAGAACCTCTGTCCTGTCCAAATTCATTCGGGCTGCTCCAGCTCTTGTCAGAAGGCTTCTGACTGGCGTAGGTGGTTTAGGATCTGTTTTTTTCTTAACATCTCCTTCTTGAAGGAATTGCTTTACTTTCCCAAGGCTCACAGTCTTGACAGATGTCACATTTTTGTTGGCTGGCTTGGATGTCTTCTTCAGCTGGATGTTTTTCTTTTTGGTTAAATCTTCCTTTCTGACCAATTTGGAAGGTTTTGCATGGCGGGATCGAGACATAGTTATGGAGTAGGAAAAAATGAAAGGACACAGGAAACAGAGTCATTGGTCCTTTGGAAAGTCTCACTTCTGCAGAGAATCTGGATGTATTGTCAAGTTCAGTTGCACCAGGTTTTGGTCTGAAATAATAACAATAACAAAAATATTGTAAGTCGTTCTCATTTGAAATAGAATATTTACTATTATTTGAAACTGAGAAAATGTTTACTTCCAAAGAGAAGTATAATAGACATACACAAAAATTTATACTAAGGAATTCTTTGGTGTGTGTGGTTGTGTGGTGGGTACTAGGCATCAAACTCAGAGGAGGGAGCCCAGGGCTTTGCACATGCTAGTCAAGCAATCTACTATAGGCCAAAGGAATCTTTTTTTTTTGTGTGTGTGTGTGTGTGTGTGTGTGTGCTGGGGATTGAACCCAGGGCCTTGTGCTTGTGAGACAAGCACTCTACCAACTGAGCTATATCCCCAGCCCGTCAAGGGCTTCTTTAAACCTTGAATACACAATGCTCCTTTATTTACTATGACAACTGATAAAAGTTGATGAAGTTCTTTAAGTAAGATAATCACACTAGTAGTTACATGTCATTTATACCTTTAAATCCCATTTGGATACTTTAAATTTATCCCTAAACTGGGCACTTAACAATCCCATTGGTTTGGGAAGCTGAGGCAGGAGGATTGCAAATTCAAAGCTAGCTCAGCAATTTAGCAAGGAGGAATTGCCCTTGGGTTCAATCCCTGGTACCAAAAAATAAACCAAAAACCTCTTGCCAGCTTCTCAGGAGGCTGAAGCAGGAGGATGTTCAAAGCCAGCCTCAGCAATGATGAGGCACTAAGGAACTCAATGAGACCCGGTCTCTCAATAAAATATAAAATAGGGCTAGAGATGTGGCTCAGTAGTCAAGTGCCCCTGAGTTCATTCCCTGGTATTCCCCACCCAAAAAAAAAAAAACCTCTTAGGCTGGGTATAGTAGTGCACACCTGTAATCCCAATGAGGCTGAGGCATAAAAATTACAGGCTCAAGGCCAGCCTCGGCAACTTACCAAGACCCTGTCTCAAAATAAAAAGTTCGTGAAACATATACACAATGGAATATTACTCAACTATAAAGAAGCATGAAATTACGGCACTTGCGGGTAAATGGATAGAACTTGAGACTACCATCCTAAGTGAAATAAACAGATTTACCCAAAATCAAAGCCAAATGTTCTCTCTGATATGAGGATGCTGACTCACAATGAGGGGTTCAGGGGAATGAAGGTTGGACATTGGGGAATGGGAAGAAGGGAGTGGGGATGGGAATGGGAAAGACAGTAGAATGAATCAGACATAATTTTCCTATGTTCACATATGAATATCCAACCAGTGTAATTCCACATCATGTACAACCACAAGAATAGGAAGTTATACTCCATGTTTGTATGATATGTCAAAATATATTCTCCTGTTATATAAAACTAAAAAGAACAAATAAATTTTTTTTATTAAATAAAAAAGGCTAGGGACGTAGCTCAGTGGTAGAACACTCCTGGTTCAATACCCAGTACTGTGAAAAATAAAATTATCTCTCAGACAGGGTAAATATAGCTTGGAGGCTATAAATGTAGTACTTTGATAGCATAAGTGAAGCCCTGGGTTAGATACCAGACACCACATTCTCCCTCTCTACTTCTCTCATTCTCTTTCACACACACTCTCTCACACACACACACCTCTTACTCTTTCCTGAGCACATCCCAACGCAGGCAGAGGTATCATGTGCACATGTTCGAAAGCAAATCTGGTAAAGAGAGAGGAAAAGAGACTAACATAAACTAAGAAACAGACTCATTGGAGATTCACTATTAACACTATGTTCTAATTACAACCCACAAGTTTTGAGCTATTCACATGCAAACAAATAGCACAAAATCTCAAAGAGTTAGTATTAGCAAATCAGGATACAAATAAGACTCACAGGTCCAACAAAGATCTATTGAGTACCTACTATGTGTAAAGAAGGGATTGTGGTGGGCCCTGCCCCCACTCAGAAATGATGTCCCTCTTTTCTCTTTCACCCAACTTAATCCAAAGAATGCTGGTTCTAAAATCCCCTCCTCCAAGGGTACCAAAAGTCTCATGATGAATGCCTGTGCAAGGAAATTGAAAATAAGAAGAAAATGAGATTAGAACAATGAAACATACAAAGCAAGCAAATATTATTTGAAAGTAAGCAAGTAAAAAGGAGAAAGGGAAAAGGGTTAATCAAGAGCCATCATCAATTTTCTTTGTATCTCAGATTGTTTGCCCTGATTCAAAATAAGACCAAGCGGGGCTGGGGATGTGGCTCAAGCAGTAGCACGCTCGCCTGGCATGCGTGCGGCCCGGTTTCGACCCTCAGCACCACATACAAACAAAAATGTTGTGTCTGCTGGAAAAAAAACTGAACAGTAAATATTAAAATTCCCCCTCTCTCTCTCTCTCTCTCTCTCTCTCTCTCTCTCAAAAAATAAATAAATAAATAAATAAATAAGACCAAGCAATTAAGCTGAGAACTGAAGCAAGCACCCAAGGTTCCAAGTTACTCTGGAGGCTTAAGTGGAAGGATCCCATGAGCCTTAGGAGTTGGAGACCAGCCTGGGAAACAAAGGTGAGACCATGTCACAACAAAACCTAAACCAAAACACGGAAGGGCATGAAATTTTGTGTACCTGTAATCCTAATGAATCAGGAGGCTAAAGCAGGAGGATTGAACAACTGAACATTTGAAGCCAGCCTCAGTAATGTAACCCAGTGGTAAAGTGCCCCTGGGTTCAATCTCCAGTGCCAAAAAAAGACCTATGGCCAAAGAGGAAGTTCATCATACTAATATATCCACAGTGTTTCTAAAGATCACAGAATCAAAAGCATGACAACAGGGGCTGGGGTTATAGTAGAGACTGGTCTGGCACTGGGTTCGGTTCTCAGCACCACATGTAAATAAATAAATAAGTGGGGTGCGAGAGCCTCGGAAGACTAAGACAGGAGGATCGTGAATTCAAAGCCAACTTCAGCAAGAGTTGGGGCACTAAGCAACTCAGTGAGACCATGTTTCTAAATAAAAATACAAAATGGGGTCAGGCGCCATAGTTCACACCTGTAATCCCAGCAAACTCAAGAGGCTGAGGCGGTGGGATGGCAAATTCAAGGGCAGCCACAGGAATTTAGCAAGACCCTAAACTACTTAGTGATATTCTATTTCAAGGTAACAATACAAAGGTCTAGGAAGTGGCTTTGTGGTAAAGTGTCCCTGGGTTTCCTCTCCAGTACCAAAAAGTAAAATAAATAATAAATAAAAGGGACTGGGAATGTAGCTCAGTGGTAGAGCACATGCCAAGCAGGCAAGGCTTGCAGAATGGGGTTAACTCACAGCACAGCAAACAACCAACGAACCAAAACAGTAGGAGGTTTATTTTTAAATATTATTACAAGGAATAAAGGAAAAAGTGGATAGTCCTTTATCATCCTCAAATTTTGTTTTATTTTGGGTTCATAGATCTGACCCAGGAAATCCTAAGACCCACTGGTTGATTTAGTGACTGCAGATAGTTCCAGAAAGCTTTATATGTGCTGGGTGTGGTGACACATGCCTGTAATCCCAGCAACTCTGGAGGCTGAGGCAGGAAGATCAAGAGTTCAAAGCCGGTGCATCTTATTTAAAATTTCCCCCCCGGAAATCACTCTCCTGTTTACTATTTCCAGAGCTCTAGTTTTAGGCAGCGTGTGGTGTCTCAGGCCAGAGCGGCATTAGGGGTTGATTTTATTACCAGGTTACCTAGAACCAGGTTGGAGGGTCTGCTTCCTGCTGCCGCTCTGCAGCCTGGACCTGTGGACCCTGGTTGTAAAGAGTAAAATGTATCTTAGGAAACCAGTGTCACCTTTTTTCCCACCTTTTAATTTTATATTATTTGTGTCATACATTTCCTGTAATGGAAGTGTTAATTTTACTGTACTTTTTGGTACCTTTTGGGAATCTAATGTATTGTAAGGTATTTTACACGTGTCCTGATTTTGCCACGACCTGGATATTGAAGCTATCCAAGCTTTTGAAATAAAAATTTTAACCCCCCCCCCTGAAAAAAAAAAAAGAGTTCAAAGCCGGGCTGGGATTGTGGCTGGGCGGCAGAGCGCTTTCCTAGCATGGCGAGGTGCGGGGTTCAATCCTCAGCACAATCAATGAATCAATCAAACAATCAAAGTATTGTGTCCAACTACAACTAAACAAAACAAAACAAAGGCTGGGGATGTGGCTCAAGCGGTAGCGCTTGCCTGGCATGCGCGGGGCGCTGGGTTCAATCCTCAACACCACATAGAAATGGAATGAAAATATTGTGTCCACAGAAAACTAAAAAATATTTAAAAAAAAAAAAAGTTCAAAGCCAGCCTCACTGAGGTGCTAAGCCACTCAGTGAGACCCTGTCTCCAATAAAATACAAAAATTGGGCTGAGGGCTGGGGATGTGGCTCAAGTGGGTAGCGCGTTCGCCTGGCATGCGTGCGGCCCGGGTTCGATCCTCAGCACCACATAACAAAACAAAGATGTTGTATCCGCCGATAACTAAAAAATAAATATTAAAATTCTCTCTCTCTCTCCTCTCTCACTCTTTAAAAAAAAAAAAAAAAATGGGCTGAGGATGTGGCTCAGTGGTTGAGTGTCCCTGAGTTCAATCCCTAGTACCCAATAAAATAAATAAAATAAAAATTTTAAGAAAGGGCTGGAGATGTGGCTCACTAGTTAATCACCTCTGGGTTTAATTCCATATAGCAAAAAAAAAAAAAAAACTCTACACTTGAATCTGCTGTCACTGGCTATGTGCCTTTCAGCAGACCCCTTAATTAAGTCCATATTTCTTCATCTGAAATTAGGTTGTTGTGAGGTCTCAGTGGGCTCCTACAGGGGAAAACCCACTTGTGATATCAGAGGTTGAGAGATGGGGAAGGTGGGAGGTAGGTTAGGAAAATGAACTTCGGAAGTAGACACACCTGGGCTGTTTTCAGTTCAGAAAATTACTAGGGGCTGGAGATGTGGCTTAAAGCTTGCCTAGCAGGTGTGCGGCCCTAGGTTCAATCCCCAGGAAAGGAAAAAGGTGAAGGATTATAAAGTAAAGACCAAGTACTTTAAAGACCAGAAGAAGTATCTCTGTGTCATAATTGAATCAATTCCCTGATGCCTCTGATTTCTCAAATCTTTCCCAATTGATTGGCCACAAGGTGAGAAATTCCACATGCCTATAATCCAGGCAGGAGAGTCACAAATTAGAGGTGATTTAGCAAGATGTTGTCTAAAAATAAAGAATAAAAAGAGATGAGGATGTAGGTCAGTGGTAAAGCTTTCCTGGGTTCAATCCCCAGTACCAAAAAGAAAACTAAAGATCCAAAGGCATTCCAATTTCATTTTCCAGAAAGTCAACAATACCTTTCTAAGAATGCTTTCTTATTATGAAAAACAATCCATTCCAATCTCTAGAAACTATTTGTTTCTGAGGGGTAGTGCCAGATACTGAACCCAAGAGCACATAACAATGGAGCCACATCCTTAGCCCTTTTTATACTTTATTTTGAGACAGGGTTTCGCTCAATTGCTGATGTCCTCACTAAGTTGCTGAGGCTGATTTTAAACTTGCAATCCTCCTGCCTCAGCCTCCCAAACTGCTAGGATTACAGTGTGCCACCATGCCTGGACAATTTTTAGAAACTTATATCACTGGAAATATGCTTCATCTCCTGTATTAAGATTGCAATGCTGGGCTGGGCTTGTGGTTCAGTGGGAGAGCGGTTGCCTAGCATGCATGAGGCACTGGGTTGGATCCCCAGAAAGAGAGGAAGAGAGAAAGAAAGGAAGAAAGGTATTGTGTTCATCTACAAGTAAAATAAATTTTTTTTAATTGCAATACTAAAAAATTATTATAAGCATATAATCTAGGTATTGTATTCAGCCATGAAAATTCAAATTTATGTATGTAATCTGGTGTCCTGGGATCTGTTTGTGAAAGCAGTTTATAAGCTGTTTATCTGTCTCCTCTATCTTCTATTCAAGAGTCTTAGAAATTCAGACTTATAATTAAGAGAATGTTTACTAATCAAACCTTACCTCTTAAAAAAAAAAGTCTGCCAAGGAAATAGAAAAGGTAAGAGCAACATGGATTGGAAGATGTGGACTCTTTAAAATGAGGGTTCCTTAATTTTAGCACCACTATGAAATGCAACCTTCTTTTGTGATAAACTAAGGTGTCTGAGGGGCTGAACTCTTTAGGGTAGGACAGCAAACCTTCCTTGAAATTTTCAGAGGGGAAAAAAAAAGACAATGTTCTCCATTCTATAAAATATGTTCATAATTAAATATGGAATTATCCCCACAGAGCCCCCGAAGTTAAATTTCACTTTTAATTTACAAACATTATTAAATGTATCACTTTTAGTGATTTATTTATTATATAGTGTTTAACCCATACAAACAGGTAAATTAGCTCGGGAGTGTAGCTCACTGGTTGAGCACTTGCCTAGCATGCTGAAGGCCCTGTGTTAAATACCCAACACACACACACACACAAAAGTAAAAATACAAGTGTATTTCCAGACCCCACCACCCTGATGAACTAAAACATCTCTTTATTTATTTTTATGTGGTGCTGAGAATCGAATCCATGCCTTACACATGCTAGGCAAATGCTGTACCACTGAGCCACAACCCCAGATCACCCTGAACTACACTCCCAAGCTAATGACTATTTCTAATAGTCATATCATTTTTTCTCTACTCTTTCATAACTCCACTTTCATTTTTTACTTATTTAAGACTGACTTCGTAAACCCTATCAGTTGTTTGGTATCAGGGATTAAAGTCAGGGGCACTTGCCCACAGAGTCACATCCCCAGCCCTGTTTTGTGTTTTATTTAGAGATAGGGTCTCATTGAGTTGCTTAGTGCCTTGCTTTTGCTGAGGCTGGCTTTGAACTTTCATTCTGCCTCAGCCTCCTGAGCCACTGGGATTCAGGGCATGCACCACCACTCCTGGCTTCATTTTTTAATTTCTAATGAAAACTGGTGTTTCAGTATTTCTCAAAAGCAGTTTTATTCTAACCTAGAAGATTTTCAAGAGTCTCAGTGCTACGGGGATAGCTTCATGAAAATATAACCTGAGCAGAAAATACGACTGGTGACCCTGTTGTTAAATGCACATACTGGACCCAATGTGGGGAACTATATGCAATTAATAGACACCATTCTGTGAGTTCCTATTGTCCTGGAAGGGAAAAACAAAACAAAAACCTATTCTTGCCAGGTGTGGTGGCTCAGGCCTGTAATCCCAGCAGCTAGAGAAGCTGAGGCAAGGGAATAGCTAGTTCAAAGTCAGTCTCAACAGCTTAAGCCTAAGCAATTTTGTGAGAACCTGTCTTAAAATAAAAAAATAAGATCCTAATTAGAATGAGTTATACTCCATATATGTATGATGTCAAAATACACTCTACTGTCATGTATATCTTAAAACAACAAATTTTAAAATCTAATCAATAAATAAATAATAAAAAGAGACCCGGCGCAGTGGCAAAGGCCTGTAATTCCAATGGCTTGGGAGGCTGAGTGAGACAGGAGGATAGTGAGTTCAAAGCCAGCCTCAGCAACAGAGAGGCACTAAGCAATTCAGTGAGACCCTGTCTCTAAATAAAATAAAAAAATAGGGCTGGAATGTGGCTCAGTAGTGAAGTGCCCCTGGATTCCATTCCTGGTACCAAAAATAAATAAAAAGTAAAGAGTTTGAGATGTGGCTCAGTGGTTGATCCACCTGGGTCCTTAAAAATCTAATCAATAGGGGCTAGAGTTGTAGCTCTTTGGAAGAGAGCTTGCCTAGCATGTGTAAAACACTGGGTTCAATTCTCAGCACCACATACAAATAAATAAAAATAAAGATCCATCAACAACTTAAAAAAAATCTAATCAATAAATAAATAATAAAAAGAGACCTGGCACAGTGGCAAAGGCCTGTAATTCTAATGGCTGAATGCAACAGGAGGATCCTGAGTGAATTCAAAGCCAGCCTCAGCAAAATTGAAGCAATAAGCAAGTCAGTGAGACCCTGTCTCTAAATAAAACACAAAAGAGGGCTGGGGATGTGGCTCAGTGGTCAAGTGCCCTGGAGTTCAATCCCTGATACCAAAAATAATTTTAAAATAATAAGAAAAGAGGGGCTGGGGGTGTGGCTCAAGCGGTAGCGCGCTCGCCTGGCATGCGTGCGGCCCTGGTTCGATCCTCAGCACCACATACAAACAAAGATGTTGTGTCCGCCGAGAATTAAAATAAATAAATAAATATTTTAAAAATAATAATAATAATAATAATAAGAAAAGAAATAAGTGGCCAATTCATACTTTGAGACATAAAAAGACAATATTAGCCAAAAATAGAGAATAAAAGATTAAGGACAGAGTGGAGGAGCTTCAGTGCTCCAATGGATTAGCTGGAAGTACTTATAAGACAGAGTAGAGGGCTGGGGTTGTGGCTCAGTGGTAGAATGTTTGCCTAGCACACGTGAGGTCCTGGGTTCGATCCTCAGCACCACATAAAAATGAAGTAAAGATATTGTGTTCACCTACAATTGAAAATAAATAAATAAAATAAATATTTAAAAAAAAAGACAGAGTAGAGAACTATGACAGCAGGCCCTGGGTAATCATGATAACCATGGCTTGTATAAGAGTCTGCTATAGGGCTGGGATTGTGGCTTAGAGCACTCCCATAGCACAGGCGCCACTCAGGTTCGATTCTCCGCACCACATAAAAATAAAGGCATTGTGTTGTGTCCATCTACAAAAAAGAAAAATTCTCTCAAAAAACGTCTGCTATATATATTTTGTACTAGGGATTAAGCCCAGGAGTGTTTTTACCACTCAGCTACCATGCCCAGTCCTTTTTTCCTTTGGTACTGGAGATAGTGAACTCAGGGGTACCAGATCATTGAGCCACATCCCCAGCCGTATTTTTTTTTTGTATTTTATTTAGAGACAGGGTCTCACCAAGTTGCTTAGCACCTCACCATTGTTGAGGCTGACTTTGAACTTAAGAGCCTCCTGGGCTGGGGATGTGGCTCAAGCGGTAGAGTGCTCGCCTGGCATGCATGCGACCCGGGTTCCAGCCTCAGCACCACATACAAAGATGTTATGTCCGCCGAAAAACTAAAAAAAAAATATATATATATATATATATTAAAATTCTCTCTCTTAAAAAAAAAAAAAAGATCCTCCTGTTTCAGTCTCCCTAGCCCTTGAGATTAGGGCAGTGTGCCACAGTGCCAAACCCATTTTATTTTTTATTTTGAGACAGTCTCGCTAAGTTGCTGAGAGAGGCCTCAAATTTGTGTTCCTCCTGCCTCAGCCTCCTGAGTCACTGGAATTGGAGGGCTGTGCAACTGTGCCCAGTTAATTATTTGCACATAATTAATTTAAACTTAACTAACCAAACTAGTCAACAAATAGAATTAGAATTTTCCCCTCAATATTATTTTAACTTATTAAGTGATGAAAGTCTTTCTGTAGCCATTCTGCAGCTATTCTTTTTGCTTGAAGCAAAAATAATTCACAATAAATTTGTTAATTTAAATATCAAAAAGTCTGTCCCTAAAAGGAACCTTTTCTTACAATTATTAAAATAATCACCTTGCCTATAAAATGAAAGACTGCCTTCCTAAGCCCTATGGGTTGTCTACAAATTGCAATACTGACAGCATCATGACAGAAAATCTTCTTCTACCCACATCCCTCCCCTTTCTGGATCTCCAGAAGTCTCCTGGGCAGGAAGTGGCCGAACTGATGTAACCACCCAGCCCGCATGTCAATTTAAAATTACACTGCAATCCTTCCCACTACCAGCTGTAGCCAAAAAAGTGGTATTTGCATACACAGAGCCAGTTGCAAAAAAAAAAAAGAGTGCCGATTTCAGTCTTTCCATTCAGCTGAATAGACTTCAAGTCTCTTGCACTTGACAGAGAAAAACAAGACTTCAAACTTTTCTTTTTAAAAGCACCACCTGGCTCAGTTTCCTCCAGAAACTAAGTTCTACACAGAAAGGAAGAGGAGGCCAGGGACTGCTTGCTGTTCCTAGATAGTTTTCTACCACAGGAAGTGTGAGAGAGCCCCACACAGGGAAAGGCTGTTCAGGGAGAGTCACTAGCATGCCAGCAGATTTATTCAAAAGCTCCTTCCATATGTAAAACACCCCTGCTGTCCTGCTGAGAGAGAGGGGGAGGACCCAAAAAGGGCCAAGGAAAGGAAAGGGAAAGGTTAAAATGGAGGTAAAATGGCCCTTCCAAAGACAGGAAAGACATAAAGCACATAAAGAGTAAAGAGTGTAAGAAGGAGTAAAATGTCTAAAAAGAAAGGAAAAGAAATGTCAAATGACTGAGTACTGAGGAAGGGAAAGAAATTTATGGTAATAAGCTAGAAAATATACATACATATATATAAAATAACTAGATCAAAAGGCCTAAGACTAAAGGTAGGGCAAAGGTGGGGAAAGAAATTAAATATGCAGGGAAGGAAAGGTACAGATGTACTGAAGAAGGCAAGGGAGAGATGGGACAGACCAGATAAAGAAGGCTGGAGAGGGAGAGAGAAACAAAGGGCAAGGAGAGTGGAAATCCAAACTCAGACTCATCCCTTCCGGAAGACCAGCACTGAGAGAAATAGTTAACTCATTAAAATGTTAAGTAGAGTTGCAAGAGAGGGCCGCCAACCATTGCAAAGAAAAACGGACACTGTATCCCGTGTTCCATATCATCTTGATTCTTAATTTAATTTAAACCATAATTTAGTTAAGACAGAGAGGTTGACAATCTAATTAGAATCCCTAAATTGGGGAAAGCAGGGACTTTGGTTTTACCCCGTGCAACCAATACCTGTAAAATCAGGAAACGCACCAAACAAAGAAACCAAACCAAACAAACAAACAAACAAAAACCCACCATAAAACAAAAAACAAAATAATCAATGTAATTCCAGTCTTTTGGGTTTTGGAAGTAATAATCTCCAAGCATCGCCTTTTACCCATTTCTCATCTACGTGTACCGCCCCATCCCGGTTTAAATGCTGTCATAAATTCATAATTTGCTCCAAATAACCCTTGCTCTAGCTTGTCATATGATTTTAGTATCCTGAGGCCTAATGAAACCAATGCCTTTATTTTACGTCTAGATTGGGGGGCTTGAGAGAAGGACCTGAGATTGCTGCTCTCTAGCGCCTCCCTTCAACCCATCCCGGGTGGAGCACGCAGCTCACAGCAAACCCAAGGCTCTGGATGCATGTTTCCTTGCTGGAAGGTCTTTCGGCACGTTCCAAACATTTCTTCCTTAACCGATCATTATTACTATGAGACAGTATAGAGTGGAACCTGGGAGGAAGGCAACTAAGTGACCTGTGCATGCTGGTTGGTTAATTTGGGAGGACGAAGGGCGGGGGGCGGGTAGAATCCCACTTCGAGCAGATCTACGACACACGATATTTACTGGTTCAGAAATGCCCAACGTGTGTTCCCGTTTCACGCGGAAAGATTACTGGCGCCGGCCAGTTATTTTCTGATCACTTCTTGTACAGATAAATGAATTGTGGTTCTAGAGGGGTGTGGAAGACAGGGAAGAAGTGAGAGGAAAGGAGAGATAAAGAAAAAGAGAGTTTTAAAATAAAATTTCCCTGTCTTGGCACGAGAATTGACGGCAGCCTCTGCGGCCCCTTGCCCTGGGGCTGGGACAGGGCCCGCTCACGTGCTGCACGGCCGGTCCCAGGCACCCAGCTCCGCGCACCTCCCACCCTCGGGGCCCGCTCCGGGATCCCGCCTGAGTAGGACTAATGGGAAATCATTGCCAGTGCGATTGGCGACCGGGAGAAGCTCTTAAAAAGAGTTTTTCGAAAGTCTTTTGACAATATGCATCTTCTTTCCCCAATACCCTTCTTCCCTGGTCCATACAGCTCCAGGTCAACCCCTAACAAGACTCCCCATTGCCTCCATTCCAAAAAGCTCACCCCTGAAGTCCCCTCCCTGAAACACTCAGAAGGCAGATGCCTTAATGTTTTCCTTAGCAATCTGTCCGCTAAAGAAGTATGGGGAGGAAAATTATCGTTACTGAGACGCTCGAGCACCGGACAGCCCAGATCTCCACTCTCAACTTGCGCTAACTCTTGTCTCTCCTCCCCCTCCAGAGGCTCCCGGACCTCTGACCTGCCCAAGAAGCTAGCTCTGCCGTCTCCAGCACGTTCAGGGATCTCCCCGAGGCTACACTTGCCCTCCCCCCGCTACCCGATTTCCAGTAGACCCCAGGGTCGGGGCCTCATTTGGCCCTGCTGCCCCCACCCAGCGCGCGGCCGGGCCTCCGGGCCGGGAGGCAAGGTTCTCCGCCGGGGGCATTGTTTACTACCCTCAACAAAAGCGCCCCGAGCTCCCGGAGTGGGGGGTCGTGCCGGGGAGGGGGCCCACCTCGGAGGCTACCCGGGAGTAGCGGATGCCAAGCCCCGACCATGTCCAGTCCAAGCAGAAAGCAGCCCCCAGCACCCTTCTGAGGCCTCTGAGTAGGAGTCCCCACTCCCCGCACTCTTGCCCTGTGCCCTGGCCCCAGCTCACCACTGCCTGGCTCCAGATACCAAGGCAGCGCATGTCGCGGGTCTCCAAGCCAGCACCAGCCCTCGGGCAAACTTACAAATTTCAGCTGGTACCCACAAACTTTGGAGTCTAGGGCCACTTAGGGCGCGAGGAGTGCGGGATGGCCCCTGGTGAACGCTTACCTTCCATCACGGTCAGGGCCCGAGCACCCGGGGTGGGCAACTGCTTCCGAAAGATCCCCAGAGGAGAGGCAGGTAAAGTTGCATGACTGGGGCGGGGCAGAAGGTGTCCCGGGGGGCAGACCCGGGAGCAGAGGGGCCAGTGGCTGCGCGCGCAAAACCGCGCCGGAGCGAACTGCGCGGCCACTCCCCGCCAGGTCAGCCCCCCGGAGCAGCAGAGTCTCCCCAGGACAGACCTCAGGGAGTGAAGCTGGGGCTCTGCCTTCGCTGGACCCTGCACCGCTGAGCGAGAGGCAAAACGCGAGCTGGATTTCCCCAAATCGGAGTTGGACTCCCCTCTCGACCCCTCCTCCTCCCCTTCGCCTTCCTTCTCTTTCCCAATATACTTTATTATTATTATTATTATTATTATTGTCAGAGGAGAGCGCTGAAGACGTAGTAGAGAAATGTTAAAATTTTCTTATCATTATCTTTATTCTGAGGGGCACTCCGGCTAAGATAAAAAAGTTTTGAGAAGATTACAAGTGAATACTCATAGGGGGTGCCAGGTCAGAAATGACAACGTTGAGCAATATCTGGGTCGGGAGCAATGGAAAACCTCCTCAACACCAAAGAGAAACCAAACTCAGTGCTTGATGTCTGCAAAGGTCACCATAATATTTTTGTTAGTTATTTGGCCTTGGACCTTGCCAATGGTCTTATTCACTTTGTAGATGAAGAAATGAAGCCACAGGAGAAGTTAAGTTTTTATTGTTAGAATGGATTACCAGTACAGTACTGCCTCAAAACCAAGACTAACTAAAGCATCTGAATTTCTCCCTAAATGTTTGATGACTGTAGCTTTTTTTTTTTTAATCACTGAATACAATATGTACCAGATTTTTTTTTTTTTAATTTTCGGCGGACACAACATCTTTATTTGTACGTGGTGCTGAGGATCGAACCCAGGGCCTTGCACATGCCAGGCGAGCACGCTACTGCTTGAGCCACATTCCCAGCCCAAGATGACTGTAGCTTCTTCAGCAGTCATTACACAAGCAAGGGAATCCAAGACTTTAATGGTGTCACCATTACTGAAGTAAGGAAAATTCTGTTCATGAACTAACACCCCTTACAGTAAAATTTCAACTGAAGAAAAAAGATTAATTCTTTCCTTGCTTTTCACACCATTCCACCTCCATTCTGCACTAGATTCTTTTTTTTTTTTTTTTTTTTTTTTTAGTTTTAGGTGGACACAATATCCTTATTTTATATTTACGTGGTAATGAGGATCGAACCCAGTGCCTCCTGCATGCTAGGCTGAGCACTCTACCACTGAGCCACAACCCCAGCCCTCTGTTCTTATTAATATGCAACATTAAATTGTAACTAGCTTGCTCTTTTAGGATTCCATAATTTGCCCTGTGTAGTGTTGCATTTCTATAATCCCAGCCTCTTTCATGAGGTTAAGGCTGGAGGATCACAAATTCAAGAAAAACCCCAGCAAAAGATACCCCATGTCAAAATTAAAAAAAAAAAAAAGCTTATTAATTCATTCTCCCAAGTCGTGATACCGAGATAAACAGAAGGGGATTGGGAGATTTTGACTCAAAACTTCATCTTATTAAAAACAGAAGGAAAAATATGGTCATGAAATAGCAATGCCTTGACTTTTGTCAATTAACTAAATTGACTTTTTTATTTTTCATTTTTATTTTGAAACAAGGTCTTTCTAAAAAGTCTTGGCTGATCCTCCTGCCTCAGCCTCCCCAATGTTCTGGGCTTATGGGTATGTGCCACCCATCACCCTCAGCTCTAATTGATTATTTTCCTAAGCATGGCAACACACACACTTGAAATCCTCTTGCCTCGGCCTGTGTTCTAACAAACACAGGCCGAGGCAAGAGGATTTCAAGTTGCAGGACAACCTCAGCCTCCTAGCAACTTAAGGAGATATCTTAAGGAGATACTGTCTCAAAATAAAGAACCTGGAGGGGCTGGAGTTGTGGCTCAGTGGTAGAGTGAGTGCTTGCCTAGTATGTGAAGGTTCCATACTCAGCACCACATAAAAATAAAAAAATAAATAAAGGTATTGTGTCCATCTACAACAATAACAACAAAAATTTAAAAAGAATAAACCTACCAGCAGCATGGAGGCCGAGACTGGGGGACCCAAAGTTCAAAGCCAGGCTTGGCAAAGGCGAGTCACAAAATAAAATACAAAACAGGGCTGGGGATGAGGCTAGGTGGTGGTTGAGTGCCTTTCTGAGTTCAATCCCCAGTACCGCTCAAAAAAATAAACAAAAAGAATAAATTTAGTCCGGGCTGGGGATATAGCTCAGTTGGTAGAGTTCTGTCTTACATGTACAAGGCCCTGGGTTCAATGCCCAGCACCTCAAAAAAAAAGTTTTTTTAAATAAATAAATAATCTTGGCATAGTGGCATAAGCCAAACAATGCCAGAGGCTGAGGAAGGAGGATTGCAAGTTCAAGGCCAGCCTTAGCAATTTAGTAAGAATGTCTCAAAATTTAAAAAAAAAAAAAATGGGGGGGCTGGGTGTGGTAGCACATGCCTGTAATTCCAGCAGTTTGGGAGGCAGATTCAGGAGATTCCCAAGTTCAAAGGCAGACTCAGGGGCTGGGGTTGTAGCCCAGTGGTAGACTGCTTGCCTCCTGTGCATGAGGCCCTGGGTTTGATCCTCAGCACCTCATAAAAATAAAGATATTTTGTCCATCTACAACTAAAAAGTTAAAAAAAAAAAAGCCAGCCTCAGCAAAAGCAAGCACTAAGCAAGTCAGTGATACCCTATCTCTAAATAAAAAATACAAAATAGGGCTGGAGGACTGGGGATGTGGCTCAGTGGTCAAGTACCCTTGAGTTTCAATCTCCAGCACCCTCCAAAATAAAAATATGCCAATCCAATAACAATGATGCAATTTTGAGAAGAAGAAAAAAGACAGGGGACTCCAGTCACAAAGGCTGTGATTGTACCCATCAGCAGGAACAGAGAGCTTTTTAAAAGGTGATTCAGGGGCTGGGGCTGGGGCTCAGTGATAGCTCACTTGCCTGGCATGTGTGAGGCACTGGATTTGATTCTCAGCACGATGTAAAATAAATAAAGGTCTGACAACAACTCAAAAAAAAATAAAAAAAGGTGATTCAAAGGCGACATTCCATGTGTTCTCAGTCTAGAATTGTAATTCACTTGAGATAGTAATTTTTGAGATATTCTGGTACCATCCCCAAAGTCAGTATTACTTCCTTTCTATAGTGGCTGTGTACTCAGGGACAGATAACTCTGCCTTGGATGGGGAAGAAAGGCAATCCTGTTTTCCCTGAGATAGATTAGGGAGGAGCAGGGAGAGAGAAGAAGAAACATGTCCATTTTTGTCTTAAATATTTTTTAGTTGTAATTGGACACAATATCTTTATTTGTTTATTATTTATTTCTTTTTTAAAAGGTTTTATATATATATAGATATATATTTTTTTAAGATCTGTTTTTTTTAAAGAGAGAGAGAGAATTTTTTAATATTTATTTTTCAGTTTTCGGCGGACACAACATCTTTGTTTGTATGTGGTGCTGAGGATCGAACCCGGGCCGCACGCATGCCAGGCGAGCGCGCTACCGCTTGAGCCACATCCCCAGCCCCCAAAATTTTATATATATATATATATATATATATATATATATATATATTTAGTTGTTGATGGGCCTTTATTTTATCGATCTGCTGGGAGCCATTAGCCAAGTAGGTATGACAATTTCCTTGCCAGCGTACCCCATGTTGCAGTGACATTGAATGTACGTGACCTTGCTCAAGGACCAAGGCAGATTAGGGTGTTCCCGGTTTTAAGATAATCGTGTTTAGGGCGTTCCCAGTTTAGGTTCCAGGTTTAAGGTTTAAGATTATTCCTGCTGGGAATAGGGCGTATCCTGCTGCCTGAGTTCCCCTTGAGTTCTCATGGGATTCAGACAATATATTTTGGAGATAGAAGCCCAGTGGGTGTGAATTTGGGCAGAGAACGTGGATTTCCCCAGAACGTGATTGTAGACGGCTGGTGTGAGTTCGGGAATAAAGAGTTGCTGTTTGAATCTACAAGCTGTGTGGTGGCTCGTGATTGTGTGCCCAGCCAGACTGCGGCATTTGTGCCCAGCCAGACTGCGGCATCGATCTATTTCTATGTGATGCTGAGAATTGAACCCAGGGCCTTACACCTGCAAGGCAAGGGCTCTACCACTGAGCTACAGCCCCAGCCCAAGAAACATGTCCATTTTAAAAATAAGTTGCAGGGGCAGAGCAGCCAGGGTTAAATTCAAAGTATAAAGTGGACCACTGTTTACATTTGCATGTAACTTATGCACACCTACCCTTTTACTTTTTTTTTTCATTTTTTAATTTTTGTTAGACAATTTTTCACAAACGGAAGAGTAGAAATAGCTACATAGAACTCCCATAAGCCCATAAGTGAGGTCTGAACAATGCAATTTAGCCAATATCACTTCATTTATTCCCCAGATTTTCTTTACTATGCCTTTCTAACTCATGAGAATACATTAGAAATAATCAGTCCTTAGGAAATCAATCATTCCTTATTATTATCCAACACCCAATACATATTCAAGTTTTCTGATTGTATCAAAGACATGTCTTTTTTTTTTTCTTTTTTTATTTTTATTTATTTATTTATTTTAGAGAGAGAGAGAGAGAATTTTAATATTTATTTTTTAGTTCTTGGCGGACACAACATCTTTGTTTGTATGTGGTGCTGAGGATCGAACCCGGGCCGCACGCATGCCAGGCGAGCGCGCTACCGCTTGAGCCACATCCCCAGCCCCAAAGACATGTCTTTTCGCTCATGGGTGATTCAAATCAGGATACAAATGGGGTATTTCTTGTTTCAGTGCCAGTCATTTGCCCTTGTTCTTAGATCTATTCATAGTCATGTCCCTCCTTGCTCAGCTGGAGTCCTGCAAGCCATGCTCCTCAGTCTCCCTGGCTGACTGGCTTCCTATTGAGTTCAGCCAGTGGAAAACACCTGTGAGAGCTTCAAGGCTGGGAGACTGAAAGTCAGGGTATGTCTTCCTGCCTTCTCAGTGGCTCCTCATTTTAGTGGTATTGACCTCCTCCAGGAGGCCTTCACCATAATTCCAATTCTTACAGGTGGTCCCAGCTCCTAGGTTCTGGTAACCTTTTACTTTTTTGTTTGTTTTGACGTGGTGGTCTTGCAATGTTTCCTAGGCTTTTTTTTTTTTTTTTTGAG